TTTGTGTTATTTATTTTATTTGGGGCTTGTTTTAAAATTTCAATTTAGTTTTGTTATTTACATTTACATTTTGTTATTTAGGAGACACTTTTATCCAAAGCAACTTACAAATGAGGACAATAGAAGCAACCAAAACCAACAAAAGAGCAATAATATGCAAGTGCTATATTAGTATATTATTATAGTGTTATATTTCAATTTCACAAAGAAACGTGCAGCATTTTGTCCAAGCAATAATAAAATGAGAATTATGTGTATATATACATTAAAAAAATGTACATACTCTTTTGTATGTACAATTTACATGGACATGCTTTGTACAGTAACATTAGTGTTTTCACTAGGCCATACCTCTAGCCTCTTCATCTTCTTTTCCATTGTAATGCGATCGAGAGCCTCTGTCCTTTCGGTAACGATTTTGAAATTCTTCCTCGCAGTGCTCAACCAATCAGAAAAGGTCCTGAGAGCATTTTGAGCCTCTGTGATGTTCTGCATCTCTTCCTGGAGCTGTTTGAGTGTATCCTGAATGATGGAAGAATAAATCAAAAGGCTCATTGTCAAGATCGCTCGGAATTCTGTCTCATCAGCATGAAGTGTTTTGATTGATCCAGTGCCGCACACTCGCTAGCATTCACCACTGGGGGCTTGAGGCTAAGCTATTTTGCCGCATTCTTCACTTGACATGCAGATCCCTCATGCACGTGGCACCAATTAACGCTTTTGCGCTGTGCCGCGCGCACACCTATCTGCAGAGACGTAATAGCTCTTGACTGCAGTGCATGTGGCGGCCTGTTGTTTCTCACAGAATAATTACACGCTCTATTCTGTGTCGCAGCCAGGGTGTGTGTGCATGTTAGAGAGAAGTAGGCAGGAAGGAGAGGTGTTACAGCAAGTGTTAAAAACAATTCTGCTGCTGTCGCAAAAGCAGCAGCATTGATTGATGGGCAAGATTGAATCCTATATTGTTTAATTACAAGCTAAGGTCTCAATGTGGGCGAGACATTGATTTTTCTAGTGTGTAGGGTTTTTTTGTCATCACAGAGGGTCACAGGAGGTGGTTTACCAGGTTGGATAGCTTCCAATGTTTAGATGGCTGAGAAATTAGACTCATTGGTGTGCTTTGGCAGCAAAGTGTGAGGTGAGTCAATGACACCAGGTTCTATTAAAAGAAACGTCATTGTAGAAAAAGTATATCAAGTAGAAATTCAAATTTAATTTAACTTTAATTGAGCAAATTTAAAAACAGACAACACTTTAATAATAATGATAAATAATAATAACTGCAATAATTTTTCCAGATAAAAATAAAACAACAGGTTTATTGCATTTCTGTACTTCAGAAAGTGGCTAATATGTATTATAAGGGTAGAAAAGGGGTGAAATATATAGTTTAAAAATGCCAATGCAAAGAAAAATACTAGAACCTGTGTTTTTTTATCATTATTATTTATATATTTTTATAGTATTTAGTAATATTTTGAATTAGCTATTTTAAGTCTTAGTCATTTTGTTATATGTATTTTTATTATTAGATTGTATTTTTATTAGCTTGGTTTTTATTTATTACTGTATATTACTATTTAGTTTTCATTTATTTTATATTTGAGTAAATCAGAGGAATAATTAGTGGGATATTGTTCAATCCATGGAAAATAAGGCGCCCAGATTGTAAAACCACAGCGTCTGTTGTATTTTTCACACTGCGAGAGCAGAATTAAAAGAAAAATCCAAGAACCTGCAATATGAATATGAATGTCATGTGTCTCTATAATCAACAGGACAATTCAAACACCAACAGATAAAAATTGTGATGGAAAATGATTATATTTATAAAATGATTACTTTATGCACATTATTTGTGAAAAAGTAGAAAAAGGACACAGGCAGCTTACTGAATGATGCTGCATACTTTCCTGAAATAATCAAGTACATCAAAATTGCAAATGTACAAGGCTGACTTGCCTGTATCTGTAGAAGCAAGGCATGGTAGCGGGCAGTGAGCTGGGTAACCCTGGTACTGATCCGACCACTGACATGAGCATCCTCGACGACTTGCTGTGCAAGAGTACTAAGGCCTTCCACCTCGGCCTGACGTTGAGCAGCCTCAATCTGCCACCTCTGAAATAAGGGAATGACAGGAAAAGGTCAACACATATCTACATTAAACCAGAGTACTATAAATCTGAAACCATCAGGCAGAAGTATAATGCATCATACCTTAAGGTGTCGAAGCTGGGCCTCCTTTGCAGTGACATCAGAGCGACGGTGGCTTCTCACCTTAACTTTGAGCTCTATGCCAACCAGCCACTGGTCTAAGCTTTGGAATAAACATTCTAGTTGCTGAACCCTTGCGAGGTCCTGCTCTACCTGGACTTTGGTCTCGCCGAGTCGGTCTTGGTACCCCTGCCATTCCGTCTGTGCTGTTTCCAGAGCCCGATCCTCAATTTGAGGGGCACCCCAAGGAATGACTCTTTCTCGACTGGCAAGAACTGAGCTGAGCAAGTTATGTCCCTTAGGGCAATGAGACTGGAGCATCTGGAGATGTTATTAGACAGAAAGAGTAAAAAGTAAAGATTAGGTAGTGCAGAATATTTCTTTCCTATAATATTAAAGCCGTAAAAAAAATCACGTTATATAAACCTGCAGTTCTTTTAACGTGTTCTCCAGAGCATTTACATCTTCATCCAGGGGTGAGAGGAGGGCCAAACTGTTCTGCTCTTGCTCCAGCCAGTCTTCAAACATGTGCAGCCCACGCTGGTACTCTTGATGGAGCAGAACCAATTCTTCTGCCTTACTGACAGCAGCCTGAAACACCAGCAGAGTATCTTATTTCAAATTTATTCCACAATAAGTGGAAACAGAGTAAAAACAGAGCATAACACTTTTTTAGCTGCTTAGTTCCAGAAGTATTTTCCCCATTCTTTTTCTCCATAGAGATAAAAAGCTTCAATAAAGAGTTTTGAGCCACAAACCAACACAGCAACTAGATCCATAGATATATATAGCTCATGTGCAATCCTGGGAGGTCACTGCTTAGCTCTTTGGCCGCAAATTCTGTTTCCATGGTAACAGAAACTTCTCTGATTGCTGAATGATATTTTCAGGGTAATATTTGGTGTAGCTCTTCACTGGAAATTTGGTTATTACATTTTTTATATATATATTTTTTTAAATGAAGTGTAAATCATACTGATTTATGGCTTCTATAAAAACATCATTGCTCAGCATCTTCAAAGCTCATTGTAGTTCTGTCTTGAAATATTTAAGTTATTGTTAAAAATCAATTTCCCTGTCGGCAGGACTCTACTGTTGCACTCTATAACCACTGGTTGGTTTCATCATATTAGTTTGTGCTGAATAATTCTTCTTGACCACTCAAAACAAATGTAAGCACTGGTCTGCTGCCTACAGTTCAACATCCTTGGCTTACCTTGGCTTTATCTTTAATGGCTGTATATCTCTCACTGAGTTTCTGGATCTCCTGTTGGGTGGCTGTATGTTCAGTCATGTTGGAACCCTTGGTCGCAATGGTCTCTAAAGGGCTAGAGTGGCTAAGAACTTCCTCATAGAGGAGCTGTACAGAGCATAGCAATTAAAGTAATTAATACTTTGAGATTTCAATTTCTAACAGAACTGTAAGAATATACAACTGTTATCTAAATAACAAATCCAGTATAAAATTATGATATTAAAATCTTATTATATATGCTTGCACAAGTATGCATATGAAAAGTATTAATTACTTTGGCACGGCCTAGATTGGCTGTCTTGTCCCTCATTTCTGCGTAGTGTTTGTCGGAGTTTCCGAGGCTCTCTTCTACTCGCTCCATCCAGCACTCAAACTGACTGACATCTTCCTGGTAACTGGTCCAGTGTGACAAGGCACCTTCCAGCTGGCTGTAAATGCAACACATAAACGAGACATCTACTACTTCCACACAGACACTTGATGAACACGTATCTGAGGAAATGCTCAGGCAAAAGCACTGAAGAAGAGATAAATAAACACAGAGTGATAGACCGAGGCTTTTCTGACCTTTTGCACTGTATGGATGTTGACAAGAGTGATTCCCAGGAGTCTTTGAGGTCCTGGATCTGCTTGCGAACCACTGGTACACCCTCAGCCGAGGTGTTCCTCTGGACAGACTCCCCTCTGGTGATGAGCATCTTCAGTTGGATTTCTCTCCCCTGACAAGCGGCCAGTAAAGTCTGTAATCAATCAGAAATCCTGTTATACACTCAACATGTACAAATGAAACTATAAACTAATTTATGAGAGCCAAATTCCTTGAAGGTTGTCCTTAGGATTTAGCAACACCTGTAAAACAGTAAAATGTGTATAATAAATGACAATGTACCTCGAGCTGGCCCATTCTGGTGATAAGCACACTCTTGTCAGATGTGGGGCATCTGCAGGTCTTGAGGGCCTGTTGGGACTCTGAAACCCAGTTCTGAAGTTCCTGAAGGCCCTGTGAAAAAAGCTGATGCTCCCCCACAACTCGTTCTACCCTTGACACTTTCTCCTGCAGAAGGGGGGCAATAGAAGTCAAGACTAGAGTAAAGTATTTTTTACACAGGTGTCAGTAATGCAGAGTTCACACTGCACGATTTTCAAACTCGTCGGATCGCCGTTGTTTTCACACTGCATGACTATCTGGGGTAGCATTCAGTTGCTGCTGTGTTCACATTGCACGATGGATCGGCGACAGGGGGTTTCACATTGCATGACTTCACAATAGGAAGAATCGCCGACAGCTCTGTCTGGTCCGCAAACTACGTTTCACAACAAAACACATGCGAGAAGTGATAAGGAAATAACGCGAGAACCCACGTGCGTCAGATCGGAATTTTCAAGCAAGACTGGAATTATTTTAAAAAATATATACAGCCCGCAAATTGTCTGTGAGCTGATTTCCAGCTACAAGCACATAAATTATACAATATTGGTTATCAGCTGATATTAGAGATTTTTAAGTTTATTGTTATGTAACAGTTAGATATTTAATTGTGCATATTTCCTAATTTTACATTTAGATTACTTTTTGGAGTGATCTAATGCTCGCTTTTTTAATAACATTTATTATTTTTGGTTAATATTAAGTTATTTAGCAAATGTCAAAATAAATATAAATTTTTCATACTGTACATTATCATGTTGCAATGCCAAAATTCACTTGTAGCAGTGTAGTTTTTAGTGTTTTATTTTAATATATATTAATAGAATAATACAGAGCTTTAATATAAGACATTTATTGGTTATTTGGTCATTACATGGAAAGAATGATTGGTATTAGTCTGAAATGTAATATCAATGCATCCCTAAGTGAATTAGTATAGAATTAGCTTTTCTTTTTTTTTAAGTACACAACCTTTCAAAAGTTTGGAGTTGGTCAGATTTTTTTTAATTAAAAACAGAGTAAAAAATTCCAATTTGAAATGACTGTTTTCTATATTAAAGGGGTGGTTGATTGCGATTTCAGTTTTTTTACGTTAGTTAGTGTGTAATGTTGCTGTTTGATCATAAACAATATCTGCAAAGTTACGAAGTTGAAAGTTCGATGCAAACGGAGATATCTTCTTTTAAAATTCTGGCAGTTTAATGCCTACAAAAACGGCTCGTAAGGGACTACAACGAGTTACTTCCTGGGTCCGTTACCTCAAGAACCCAGAATTTTACATAAACCCCGCCTCCGGGAACACGCAGCAAAGGGGGCGAGGCCATGCTGCGCTGCTTTAGAGAAGAGGAAGAGAAAACTAGAGGTGCACGTAAAAATCTATTCATATATGAATCGCGATTCTGTCTTCTAACGAGTCTAATGGATTCACAAGTTTCAAAATGTTCTAAAGCAGCGTTCTCATCCTGTTCCTGGCCTCGCCCTGCTCTGCAAACGCTCTGCATCTCTCGCTCTCTCTCATTCAGATCATCAGCTCAGTGAATACACTGATTTTCACATACTATAGCTATGAGAAGCGTTATACATGGACGCGCGTGCGGTTGCCGAACTGTATAAATGCTTTAATCAGAATAAAACCGTATATTAAAAGCTAACAGAAGCAGTAGCATTTACAAATAACAGCGTATCTAAAAGTATGAGACAACAACAAACAAAAATCTTAGGCCTACCATTAAAAGCCGTGCTTGCAAAGGTTCTGCACGATCCTCTTCAATAATAATCTGATCCTCCGCTTCTCAATCGGGCTCAAACTGATAAGCAATATAGACGACGTCATTGTTTACAATACAAACGGAGCACATGCCGCTATGTTGAGGGGCGGGACGTTTAGACGCACGCTAGAGGCGGTTTAGCCAATCACAACACACTGGACTAGCTAACCAATCAGAGCCCATCG